TCGCAACTGGGAAAAAATAATAGTATTTTTTAGAAACATGTTCCCTGCTAGATAAGGTGAATGAGAAAATGGTATTTATGTACCAGATAACAATCACGTGTAATGGTGCTAAAGCGAAGGCAACAAAAATGCTATTTTTTATGTATCAAATGCTCGATGTATGATAGTAGATGAAACAAATGATGACGATGATTTATCGATAAACTGATGATTGCTGCTGCAGCAAGCTGGCAAACCGCTCGATAAACGTAAATGAATTGAAATTATATATATATATATATATATATAATATATATATATATTATATATATATATATATAACTCAAATTGTCCCAGAAGGTTATTTTTCATATTCAATGAAAAACTGACGGTAGCAATAGATGCAATTCATTTATAATTTATTTCCAAATTGGCTAAGTGTCTCTACGAGTTACACAGATCTAGAAAATCAAGTTGGTAGAAGTAGCTCGCGTATTACTGAAAGCAATATGTTATACATGAACTAATATTTGGATTCTTTTAGTCTAGCTGCTAACGAAACACTGGCAATGCAGAATGTCCTTGTACCATATTCCAATAGTACTTGATATAATTTTCTTTTTCATCTTGCATTAGTTATGAAATCAAGCCAGTGCTGCCAGCCACCGTCAATATATTTCTACACCTGCTGCAGTATTAGCGAGCGTATGAGAGAGTTTGTGTTGACAGCGTCACGCGCAGAGCTTTTTGCGTGAGTCTGTAATATGTGGGTTTTTTTTAATGAGAGAAAAAAGACGTTACCGCTCACAACGGTGCAGTCCTTCTTCCACTTGGAAGAAGGCCTGGGTTTAGTACAGCGTGGATATGCATGCGTGTGTTCCTTGGTACCATTATAGTATGTTCGATTCGAAATGCTTTTTATTGTCAACGTTGTTTTTTTTTACTTTTAACAGTTATTTTAGGGCGTGACATTATGTAAAGGATGGCCGTGATTTCAATGCGTGACTGTTTCAGTGTGCTACGCCTAATCTGTAGTACGAAGCTACTTGAATGATAAGGCATATGCGTCTTGTTATTCTTTACTATTGACCATTTTCGCATGACATTCTAACGGAAAATCAAACGAGATGCACTTCTTAGAATTGTTAGTGTTCATTACTACTTCGAGTGACATTGTGACTCTAACCGCTACGACTGCGGTCCAAAGTTATTACAGCATGAAAATCTCATTTAAATAACCTCGAAAATGAAATTGGCTTTTGTTATCGATCGTAAGCATTATTTATTATGAGATGTATTATCACATGAACTTAATGTATTATATTAGTCCCGCTGTTATACAATGTTTATCTCGATTGGCCGTATGTGTGTAGTTGTTATGTTTGTCCATTATTCGAAAAAGGCACAAGGATTACTTGTTTTTCTTTGAAAACTGAATGAAAGGAAATAACGGTCTTTGATAGCCAAGTCGTTTACTATTGAAGTACGCAGGTATACGTTGGTGCGTGAGCACATCCTTCTTTTAAAACCTGACCAAAGGATATGAAGATAATTATTGCGACGAGATCGAAAAGGTAAACATTAAGGAGAAGAAACAGACTTCAGACATCGTGCTTCTTATATTCTATCGGTGGCTTCCTTTCTCGAAAGTAAGAGTGGATGCTTATAGTGGAGTTCTTTTGTTTCTAAACCGCACGTTACAGTATTATGACACTACTATTCTATAACACCGACCGTTAACGTTAAATGGAACGACTCGAAAGACTTCCTAAAAATGAAACCTGGGCCTTCTATTATGTTTCATCTCAAACAGAATCTAGTACTACTCTAACGAAAATCAAATATA